AAATACAGGAGTAATTGGAGGGTGTTTACCATTTACACAAAATTTCCGGAAATTTTCGGTTCAGTTACCACAATTGTAAATGGAACACACTTTTTCCGATTTATTTGCATAAATTTTTTCTTGAATTCCATTTTGAAGCTTATTGGAACGCATCCCATTCCAAATTTTCAACGCGAATTTCCGGTAAAGCGTTTGGTGCTGGTCAAAGAGTAGTCCCTTTCCCACCGTTCATGATTTTAAGAAAGTTGGTCGAGAGAGTAGCTGTAAAGGCACGACCGTTAAGTCAAAAAAACCCGAGAGCAATCCTAAGAGAATGACAATAAAGAGAGATTCTTCAAGCTCAATAATAGATTCAATCTATTTGCAAAAACTTAAAAAAGAACAAAGAACTTTAAAAAAAAACTTTTTAAAAAAGTGTATGGAAATATTTTTTAATCGCCAAATAACTAGTAATAACAGAACTGAGCAACAGCACGTCTACGCATTCTTCGAGAATTAATCAAAGTTTGAAATTGTTTTTACTGAAATGGGGTAAATAGTCCAGTCATCCTGTGAATTTTTTTGGGTCGAGTTCAAACAAATTGTAAAAGAATTTTTTTCACTTCAGAATCAAAGATAAATGCCAGCTAACAAACATACTWAAAATTCGCAAAMATTCGTGTGGTGGAACATTGTGAAATTAAGTGTCAAACTTCTTAAAATACAACAACGATCACCACAGGGTACCCACATCTTGTAAAATTCCACACATGTCATTTGTGTGCAAAGTTTGGAACTTTAAATTGAGATTACATTCATAAACAATAAAAGATATTGTTTCTAAATTGTTATTGTATTAATTTTACATTTGCAAATCTTTTTGAATACATTTGAGATGAAAACTAACGTTTTGGAGTCCCTGTGTCTCGAGGAACGCCTGGAAGCTGTCAACGTAGTTACATCGTTACATCGCCTGTAAGTGCTCTAGTTCTCCCAAAGTTTTATATGATTTTCATTCGATTTATTCTTACAATCTTCCTATTATTATCAAGTAGRGATGTAAGGTAAGTGTGGTTAAAATCTAGCTTGATTTTAATGGCTTTTTATGCTCGTACATCAAGCTATTTGGCCTTTGAATTATATCGATTTGAAAATTTGGCGCCAAAATGTTACGACAATGTATCAAAATGTTTCCCTTTTTTGTGAGTATTCAAGGCGAGTCCCGCACTCCTACTTTACTTTTTTCAGCCAGTGATAAATCAATATTGGTTTTATTTATTTATTTTTTTATTTATTTTTAATTCTGGCTTTGATATCGAAATTTGATTATTATATGATCTCTTTGTTTTGCAATCTCCAAAATATTATCCTATCTTTTCTTAAAAGGGGATTTGCAGAAATTCAAAGGCATGTACTGGCAAGCTGCACTATGGAGTGTTGCTTTTGTAACCAGTTGTTAGATAATGGAGAACCTACAGCCACTTTGACGGAAAAAGGTTGTAGCAAAATAAACAATGTGAGCGATTCACTTGATCGATGCACAATTCTTGTTAATCCTGGTCAAAGTGTTCATACGAAATGCCGTCTYGAATTCACCAGRCCAAAAAGAACAGTGACCTGTGGTACTGAGAAAAAACAAAAGGCAGTCATTTCCCGCAGATCCACTACATCTACCTTTATTTTCAAAGAACATTGTTTTTTCTGTGGCCAGCCGGCGAAGTATAATGGCCGAAAACGAGGTTATGAAGTCATCCCTGTTCGTACGCAGGATTTTCAAAAAAGCATTCATGAGGCATCTAGAAGAAGAAACGACGAATGGGGACAGATAGTACTTGGAAGACTAGAGTTTGCCCAAGATTTGCACGCATCAGATGCAGTATATCATAATGCATGCAGTGTAAACTTTCGAAATGGGAAGCAAATTCCGAAGAAATACGAGGACGAGAGAGAGCTAAAGCGACAAAAGGTTGGACGCCCTACGGACATGACTAAAAATGATGCATTTCTAAAAGTAACACAATTCCTTCAAGAAAACGATGAAGAACAACTAACAATATCTGATCTTGTTCAWAAGATGGAAGAATATCTGGACGGAACGGAGGAAGKTCCATATAGTAAAGTGTACATGAAAGTGAAGTTACAAGAACATTTTGGGGTGAAAATAGTGATTATACCCACTGTGAATAATGAAAACGTTGTTACTTTTCATGATACAGCCGCTACAATAATAAGTGATTTTTACAAGCAGCCTAAAGTCGAGGACTATGAAATTGAAAAAGCTAGAAT